TTAATAAAGACCTTAGCTGGTTCCAATTGGTATTTATGGGACTCTATCTAAGGCTCTTATGACACAGTAGATCCAATATTTAACTAAACATGTGATGAGATGAAGGTTTTCAATGAAGCCACTGGTAATCAAAGCAATAAAAATAACAATGGGAATACCTTAAGCACTGCTCCCTTGTTGGCAAAATAAAAATTCTTTATTGCAGAAAAAGTTACTGAATTGATATTGAAATAAAATTAAAGGATTGAATTATAGACTACCAATCATTATGGTTATATTGGATATAGATTTGAGCCTTGATCGAAACCCTTTATTTTAACATAAGATTGCAGACCTTTGATTACCTATCATTCCAAGAATCAGAATTTAGCTTCTTTTCTTAGTCTCTGTGCCTGTGAGCCTCAGGGCTTCTTAGGTTGTTGGACTTTCTAACAGGAAGAATCAGGCCCTCCTCCTGGGAATATGCTTAGAGACGAGAACTTGGGGCTGGTTCCCCTTCATTCTGGCTTAAATATTACTTGCCTTACCTCAGTATTTCATAATGTGACACTCATAATTTATTGTTCGGTTTACTTTAGAATTTTTCTTTTCACATTATAGGCTTTCCACGTTACTTGGCATTTAGCTACTCTTCCTTGGTGAGACAAAAGTCTTTTTCCTCTAGGGATTTTAAGGTGAAAAAAAGTGTTCAGAGAGATTACCTCATTTGAATTTATTCCAAATATTCTAATTAACTAATCTATAATGACCCTACAGTGTCTTTCATTTAAAATACTGATGATTTAAAAGTCATAGATTGTGTCTACACATAAATGAGATAAGTACTGATAGAGTAACCCAAGAGATAGCTGAAGAATTAAATTTCTGCCCAAGGTAGAGTATGTGTTCAGTTGGTATCGACTCCTCTAGGTGTGATGTTTCATGTCATATCCTTCATTTCTTGTAAACAGTTATGAAAGTTCTCAATTTACTGGTATGGGGGATAGATATAGGGACATATTTTTAATAAGGAAAGAAGTGGACTTAGGTGTATGCTTTTTAATGATAGTTGAATAACTGAAAGATTGAAGTTTGGCTTCTGACTGTGAGTAAGCTCTGTCATTGATTTTTCCATGAAGTTAAATTTCAGCATTGTTTTTATTAAGTACAAAGTGTAATAGCTGGGCACATGAAAATTATCATAAATCCTCGATCACACTAAAGTACTTACTGTTGCTCTGCCGTAAGGAAACTTTCATGTAACAAATGTCATTGTTGGCACATTTTTGTTTACTTGTGTCACAAATAAGGGACTTGTCCCGGTTAATTTCCACTAATCAGGTCAATTTTTACACAGTCATGCAAAAGTAGTGTCTTTGTTTTTCTTTGAAGAAATCTTCCAGCAGGTAAGAACATTTAAGTACATTTCTACATCATGTTTAAGCATCTTTATAGTTTGGTCATCTGCTTAGGATAGTGCCATACTTCTCTAATGACTGAGATAATGAGCAGGCTGTGTGGAACTGAGGAAAGTGTGGCCTCTAGGAACAATTTCTATATCCATGGATTAGCTACCCATATCCATGTGTTTTGTGATCACACATACATGACTAAGATATCTACATGAACATTTAGTGAAAGAAACATTGCTTTTCTGGACCATGATGTGAGTATTTAAAACCACTGACGAGCAACATTCATTGAAAATTCCTGTGACATGTTGAAATGTAGCTAATGTCTTAAATACCATATGGTTTTGTTGAACGAATTCTAATTGGGAAAGTTGAGGTAGCAAACATGAAAATCTTTCAGTATACAAAACATATATTTGGTTTTAATATAAAGCCTATTTTTTTCCTTTTCTATTTGCCGAATAAGAAGAAAAAAACATTCCATATTACACATATAATAAACCAATTGATTTATAATCATTATATTTAAAGGATGTTATATTTTATATGATTTATTAATAAAGGTATACAATCACTTTGGGAATATTTGATTATAGAGTTTAAAATTGCAGATCATGTCAAGTGTGTTAGAATGTGAAGGAACCAATGCCTGTTATGTTCTGGAAGCATAATATGGGTTTTTGCTTATAAATCTAAAAACAATCCCAGCAAACCTACTAGAAATATATGTGCTTAGGAAAGTACCTAGTCTACTGTCATTTAAATAGATTTATAAAATTGTGACTGTGAAATATAATATTGTAGAGCTTTTTTTAATGGGATTTTATCTTTAGAAAATACCATGTTCTTAGAAAATTATGTTAAATTATTTTTGTCTAGAAATATGTTAACTTAGCATTTTACATTGAAAGCCTAGTAATGCTATCTTTCAGTTTTGAAAGTATTTTATATTTAATGACTTAAATTATAGAGGATAGTTTACATACCAAATTTTAAAAAAGTGAACATTTAAATTGCCAAAAAATTATTCTGTGGAAATCTGGTTTTGATGACGGAAGACGGAAAAGGCAGTAAATCTTGTAGCAAGTAAGGTGTGGAAAAATAACAGAATTGGCCTTGTGTTCTTTAGCAGGTGTGTCTCTATCAATCCATAGTTTCAACATTGGCAGAATTCTGGAATCGGCTAGAAGTGGTGATGTGAATGGGACATGTGGAAGGTTCATCACAGCTGGCTTTTAGAGACAGCTCAAACTCTCTCTGCACACGTCCTATTCCATTGCCAGAGTTATGTAAATGAAACCATCCTGTCTACATTTAAGGTTTAGCATTTCTGCAGTTTTCCTAAGCAGTGAGTAATCAGAAAGTTTGGGTTTGTATCTCTACTTGCCTCATTGTTGTCTGTAATTTAAATTTTTCCTTAACTGTCAGATCTAGAGACTTTAAGAAACAGTGTGTTTGTTTTTCTTTTATTATTATTTTTTATTAACAAGATACTGTCTGCGTTTGTTATGACCATCCCTAAAAGCCTCCTGAGTCACCCCAGGAACTCACAGGAGGTTGCACTTCCAGTATTTCTTTGCTAAAAGGAATCTCTCTGAAGAAGATTTTAAAAGAATACTGGCCTCACTTAATTATCTCATTAATCTCCTTATAGCTTGTGAATACTCAGTTATTAACTACAATTTGTCTGTTTTTGATTTTAGCCTTCTTTTCATTTCTTGAGCTATCCCTGATGGTAGGTCCAACTTTTTCACCATAATTCTGCTTGCTTCTCATCAAGATACATTTCCTGACAGGTAAAATTACTACCCATATAATTAGATCATTATTTTCTAAGGCATACAATTTTATTTTGTGCCCCCAAAAGGCTTTCCTGAATTATAAGTATTTTATCCTTTTTTTCCCTGGAGTATGTTTATAAATATTTTCAAATTGACAAAGCTCTGCATGATTTGTTCTGATTCTATGATCACAGTGACATTCAAGAATACTAATAATGGCTATCATTTATCAAGTCCTTCCCAGGTGCCAGCCAGTATTCTAAGTACTTAACTTAGTTTTAATAAAATAACAACTCTAAGGGGTAAGGACTATTGGGATAGCTATCCTGAAAATGATGATAGTAAGGGACAGAGAGGTTTAGTAAGTGGACAGAAATCTCATAAAAAGTACAGAAGCTGAAGTTGTAGCTGAAACAGTGTGGATCCAGTGTCCACATTATTCATCACATGCTACACTTTCTTTCTAAGGATGTCTTGGATCTTAAATAGGTACATACTAGGTGAGAACCTTATAGCTCACTATAATCATGAAACCCCCATGTCCCACTGACTACCATTTTTCATGTAAGAGTCATGAGCTTGGAAATGTTTATTTAATTCTAAATTTATAAAAAATGAAAAAAAATTGTCAGCAGAATACCATAAAGGAGAGGTACACTAACAGTTCTGTAGATAGTTGCTGAGAAAGGATTCTGAATTTCTCAAATTTAATCGTATTATTTTCCAGTGAATGAGCTGAGACAGATTTGTAAATACATTTAGAAAATGACTCAAATCCATGTATTATTCTTACACTAAACTTGGAATTTCCCTTAGAATTTAATTCTTTTTGGAATCTGGTAACTAAGATTCTATTTTTGAGTACTCTTAGTATCTAAATAGTGTTATAAACGAAACCATGTCCCACTGTTCTGTACCTCTTTCTACAGTGTCTATTTTCTCCTCTTTCACTCCCTAGCTTATCCCAAGAATTCAGAAAAAAATACTCATGGCACGTTTGGTAGTGGGTGATAGTCATGAGTTAGTTCACATTAATTGCTGAAAATTAGGATATTGTATGTAATTGTGGTAAAAATTGGAATATAGACAAGGATAAAATGGAGAGAATCACAGCTCTTAAGGTGGGCAGAGAATCAGACCAAGTAATTGCTACAGGGAACAGTGTAATAAATAATATCGTAGCTATTTATACAGTTCAGAGTGCTATATTTTGTCATTTAATGAAAGACTAATGAAGACCGAATATTCTTCCAGGCATGAAAGAATGAAGGTCTCACAGTAGAAGGCCAGAGTACTGAGTGAAATACTTCAGAAGATGTTATTCTTGGTGCTACACAGATCATATCATAAACGTACCACAAATACAAATACAAAAGACTAAATCTATGTCAATTTATTTATTTAGAGTTTATGTCCACCACCAGAGAGTAAGCTTCTTGAGACCAAGACCCCATTGCCTATTCATCATAGCTGACTTCTCTGCCATAAAAAGTTTTAAATAAGAAGTTATGAAATGTATAAATGGGTGTTGGGATTTTAACACATCTTCTGTATAGAATACTCACTAAACTTAGAGGTAGAAACCTTTACCTGTAGCTGAAACTAAAATCTATGAGGAGAAACACAATCATCAAGGGAAGATGGTCTCTTTGGATGAGAAACTCAATAGAGACTTACTTAATGTTTATTGTGTGTAAGTATCTATTCAGGATACAGTGAAGATGAGCTCTGTCACACAATGGATGTAATCATATTCCTGTTCACTGTTTCATTACAGGTCCTGTTCTCCTGAGCTCTCACCTCTGACACAAGCCTGAAAGAAGAGTAAATGAGACAGAACAATATTACAGAATTTGTCCTCCTGGGCTTTTCTCAGGATCCTAATGTGCAACATGCTTTATTTGCCATATTTTTACTCACATACACTGTGACAATGGTGGGGAACCTGCTCATTGTCGTGACTATTATTGCCAGCCCTTCCTTGGGCTCCCCAATGTACTTCTTCCTTGCCTGTCTCTCATTTGTAGATGCCGTATATTCCACCACAATTTCTCCCACATTGATTGTGGATTTACTCTGTGATAAAAAGACTATTTCCTTCCCAGCTTGCATGGGCCAGCTATTTATAGACCATTTTTTTGGTGGTACTGAGATCAGCCTCCTGGTGGGGATGGCTTGTGACCGCTATGTGGCCATCTGTAAGCCGCTGCACTATTTGACCATAATGAGTCGACAGGTTTGCATCCTTCTGCTGGTGCTGGCCATGATTGGAGGTTTTGTGCATTCTGTGTTTCAAGTTGGTGTTGTGTACAGTCTCCCTTTCTGTGGCCCCAATGTCATTGACCACTTTTACTGTGACATGTACCCATTGTTGGAACTGGCGTGCACTGACACCTACTTTATAGGCCTCACTGTGGTTTTCAATGGTGGAGCAATCTGTATGATCATCTTTACCCTTCTACTAATCTCCTATGGAGTCATCCTAAACTCCCTTAAAACTTACAGTCAGGAAGGGAGGCACAAAGCCCTGTCAACCTGCAGCTCCCACATTGCTGTAGTTGTCTTGTTTTTCGTTCCCTGTATTTTCATATATGTTAGACCTGTTTCAAACTTTCCTATTGATAAATTCATAACTGTGTTTTATACAGTTATCTCACCCATGATGAATCCTTTTATATACACACTGAGAAATTCAGAGATGAAAAATGCTATAGAAAAACTCTTGTGTAAAAGTTAACTACAGTTAGAATAAAGTGTTCCTCCTCATGTAGATGAGGAAGTGTGTAGATAAAGTCTTCCAAGGGAAATTTTCAGACTTCTCAGGGTAATTCAAGGACACCAAAATAGGAAGACAGGATTGGGATGCTTCCAGCTCAATTAAGAACTCATCCCATCATGGCATCTGTTTGAAGTTCAAGATCTCAACCTCTGTATTCACTGAGAATGAATGGGGCTGCCTGAGTGGAGCTTTCATTGTGCACATTTTAAATTATGTTTTTTCTCTATTACACATATATTGAGACAGCATATTTCTTCCATATTCCCAGCATGGAATGGGGAAAGGGAGGAATAGTAATTAAAATAGATGTTCATGTTCAGACGGGAAGGCTATTGCTGCTTTGTTCTGTGTAATTAAAAACTTTGTGCAATATGCAAGCACCATATTCACAAACATTTTTGAAACTGGCCCTCGTCAGAGTTGAGGTGAAACTCTATGTGCATTCAGATAATACTCTTAAGAATCTTAGAATTATGTTTGTCTAGTTTAAAGTACTTATGAGACACATCGTTACATTTTTCTTAAGTCTTTTAATAATGTCTTAACATCCACAAGTTTGAAATGACGTTTATTTTGATGACTTTTTACTTTTAGCATTCTTAGCTCTTTGCAGAGTCTGGAAAGGAAAACCATTTTTAACTTTGCAAAAGCAAGTTCTGGCTGTTTAATGTTTCTTGTAAATTCTTTCTGAAAATGTAACAATCTTTAAAGTATCTTTTTACATCTGTCTCATAAGATAACACCGCTATAAGCTGTGTATCTTATCAATGAATCCAGGAGCTGGTTTTTTGAAAAGATGAACAAAAATAGATAGACTACCAGACTAATAAAGAAGAAAAGAGAGAAGAGTAAAATAGATGCAATTAAAAAAAATGATAAAAGGGATATCACCACAGAGCCCACAGAAATACAAACTACTGTCAGAGAATTCTATAAAGAACTCTATGGAAATAAACTAGAAAATCTAGACAAAATGGATAGATTCCTGGACGCACACACCCTCCCAAGACTGAATGAGGAAGAAGTCAAATCTGTGAATTTACCAATAACAAGTTCTTACATTGAGGCAGTAATTGATAGCCCACAAACCAAAAAAAGTCCAGGACAAGACAGATCACAGCCAAATTCTACCAGAAGCACAAAGAGAGCTGATACGATTCCTTCTGAAACTATTCAAACAATAGAAAAAGAGGGAGTCCTCCCTAACTAGTTTTATGAGGACAGCATCAACCTGATACCAAAAACTGGAAGAACCATAACAAAAAAGAAAAATTTTAGGCCAATATCCCTGAGGAACATTGATGGGAAAATCCTCAATAAAATACTGGCAAACCAAATCCAGCAGTCTGTCCAAAAGCTTATCCACCACAATCAAGTTGGCTTCATCCCTGGATTCAAGCCTAGTTCAATATACGCAAATCAATAAATGTAATCCATCACATAAACAGAACCAATGATAAAAACCACGATTGTCTCAATAGATGCAGAGAAGACCTTTGACACAATTCAACAGCACTTCATGCTAAAACCTCTCAATAAATTAGGTATTGATGGAATGTATCTCATATGAAAATCTGCTGAAATTCTCCCTTGGAATAGTAGAACCTTGGTCCAAGAAGGTAAAACTAAGTTCTCTGAATGACCATACGTACAAGCAGCATGATCTTAAGTGCATAAGCATTTGGTTCTCAATCTCAGAGCAATGTCTGAATATTTCCTGACTCCTGTGCTGTAACTTCACCATTTGGTCAGACAGCCAGCCTCTGAAGAATGAATGACCAAGAAATCCAGCAACAGAGAATGCTATTATGGAAGCCTTATTAGGATATAAGGCAAGATTAAACTGGGTGCTATAGTTCCCCCGCCTACAAAACGTAGTTTTTTACTATTTTCAAAAAGGAACAGAAATCCTTTGTCTCAGGATTTTCAAGTGACAACTTGTATATATGGGATGAATGACGTATAATGATTAGAAAATAATAACATATCCAAGTCAACCAAAACCAGTAATGTGATAAAGAATAAGGTGCTAGAACAAGAACAGAAACACTGCTTTAAATAGTCTGAAAGAGTATTTGCCAGGGTCAAATAACCACAACAGAGCTTGTAGTGTTATTACAAAGAACCAATAGCCATAGCTCCTAGTGATGTCAAATGGGTTTTCCTTGATTCTACTTTTAATTACATTTTGAGATTAACTTAACCTGTGATCCAAACCACAAATGAAAACACCATCATGCTATGGAAACCATACACGGTCTACCAATTTGATTCCACATATCTCACTGAATCAAAGCACAAGTTTTCTCATGGCCAGTGGCATAAATGAGCTAAGAAGTACATCACATAGGCAGGGATGGTGGCTCACGCCTGTAATCCCAGCACTTTGGGAGTCGAGGGGGGGCAGATCACCTGAGGTAAGAAGTTCGAGACCAGCCTGAAGAACATGGCATAACCCCATCTCTACTAAAAATTCAAAAGTTAGCCAAGTGTGGTGGTGCATGATTCTTGGGAGGCTGAGGCAGGAGAATCGCTTGAACTCAGGAGGCAGAGGTTGCAGTGAGCTAAGATTGTGCCACTACACTCCAGCCTCAGCAAAAATCTGTCTTGGAAAAAAAAAGTATATTACATGGACATATTATACCCCTTACAACTCATGTAATACTGGCTTAATCAAAAGATGAATTTATATATGTAATAGCTAAATGGAAAAATCATGTTAGATAGGAAAGGGGCACAGAGATGTGTGGTAACACCTAGAATGCACACTATTATTCTTTACACATGACATTATCTTGTCTCCAGAGAATAAAACTGTTTCTCTCATAGGTGACATGAAGTCAGTTAATACTAGAAAAAGACAATGAACCCCTTCTCACTTGAATGGGAGAATTAAACTGAAGTTACTTAATGCGATGTCTAAGAATTGTATTATTTGTAGGAAAGGTACAATACAGTAAATGCTTCTCTTGATACAATTGCATGAGAACAAATTAGAACTATAAAATGGTGAAGATGATAAAAGATAAAGGAAAGAAATAGCCCATTTGGAAAACAACATCTAAATGCGCTATCATATAACCCCTAATTTTGCAATGTAGACATTAATGCTGAGACATGGACCTTCTTGAGTTTCAACAGAAAGCTGAAACGTTTACTACATCACTCTACTGTGGCAGAAAGTGAACTTCAAACTCTTTTCCAACAGCCCTTGTGCTGGCAAATTGCTGGAATTTCTTCTCACTCTTTCTTTTTTTTTCCATTTTTTAAAATTGCATTTTAGGTTTTGGGGTACATGTGATGAACATGCAAGATTGTTGCATAGGTACACACTTGGCAGTGTGCTTTGCTGCCTTCCGTCCCCTCACCTGCATCTGTCATTTCTCCCCATGCTATCTCTTCCCACCTCCCCACCCCCCGCCTCTCCCCCATTTCCCTCCAACGGACCCCAGTGTGTAGTGCTCCCCTCCCTGTGTCCATGTGTTCTCATTGTTCAACACCCGCCTATGAGCGAGAATATACAGTGTTTGATTTTCTGCTCTTGTGTCAGTTTGCTGAGAATGATGGTTTCCAGGTTCATCCATGTCCCTACAAAGGACGTGAACTCATCGTTTTTGATGGCTGCATAATATTCCATGGTGTATATGTACCACATTTTCCCTATCCAGTCTATCATCGTTGGGCATTTGGGTTGGTTCCAGATCTTTGCTATTGTAAACAGTGCTGCAATGAACATTCGTGTGCACGTGTCCTTGTAGTAGAATGATTTATAATCCTTTGGATATATACCCAGTAATGGGATTGCTGGGTCAAATGGGATTTCTATTTTTAGGTCCTTGAGGAATCGCCACACTGTCTTCCACAATGGTTGAATTAATTTACATTCCCACCAACAGTGTAAAAGTGTTCCTATTTCTCCACATCCTCTCCAGCATCTGTTGTTTCCCGATTTTTTAATGATCGCCATTCTAACTGGTGTGAGATGGTATCTCAATGTGGTTTTGATTTGCATTTCTCTGATGACCAGTGATGATGAGCATTTTTTCATATGTTTGTTGGCCTCCTGTATGTCTTCTTTTGTAAAATATCTGTTCATATCCTTTGCCCAGTTTTGAATGGGCTTGTTTGTTTTTTCTTGTAGATCTGCTTTAGTTCTTTGTAAATTCTGGATATCAGCCCCTTGTCAGATGGGTAGGCTGCAAAATTTTTTTCCCATTCTGTTGGTTGCCGATTCACTCTACTGACTGTTTCTTTTGCCGTGCAGAAGCTGTGGAGTTTGATTAGGTCCCATTTGTCTATTTTGGCTTTTGTTGCCATTGCTTTTGGCGTTTTGGTCATGAAGTCCTTGCCTACACCTATGTCCTGAATGGTTTTGCCTAGATTTTCTTCACTCTTTCAATCTTTTTCCTATTTTGTGTTGAGGGGAGAGCTAAATATAGTCTCAACCTGACTTTTGCAGTTCAGTAATGAGCTCACTACTTGAGGGATGAGAAACGTCATAACCAGCAGACCTGTTTTATAAGAAATGCAAGAAAAAAAAGTTACTCAGGTTGAAAAAAACAATATTATATGAAAAATAATAGTTTATAGTAAAGAATTCAGAAAGTAGATATAATACATAGGGAATAAATAGAGATTATTTTCCTTTCTCTTATTTAATAGTTGTTCAAACAAAATAACATATTCAGAAGTTAATAACATGCAGCAGTAAAATACAGAAAAAAACTTCGAAGTGCTGTGGAATGTTAAGTGGAATGACACTTTCAAATGAGTTTTCATTTCTATTGAGAAATAGTCCTGCCAGGAGCCAGTTTGGATGTGGATCCTTCCTCAGCTGAGCCTTCATGTGAGACTGTAGCCCCAGCCAGATGATGATTACAGATTCGTAAGATACCCTGAAGCACTGAAACCTGCTAAGCCATCTTTAGTTTCCTGACCTACAGAAATTGAGAAATAACAAGTACATAGTGTTTTGAGCCTAAATTTTAGAGTAAGTTTTGTATGGGAATAAGTAGCTCACATATCTAGAAAAATCTTCAACTATTTGAAAATTGGAAATAATTTTTTGATAACCTATGAATCAAAGTAAAAGTTATAATAGAAATAAGCAAATATTTAGAACTCAACACTAAATAAAACATATCAAAATGTGTGAGATAAAATAGTACTGAGAAGGAAATTTATAGCTATAAGTGTTATTTTAAAAATAAATGTTTAAGCATCCATCTGAGCTTTCACCTTAAGAAGAGTAAATTAAATCCAAGGTAAGTATAAGAAAGGACATAATGAATATAAGATCAAAAATCAGTAATATGGGAAACATGAAATAGAGAAAGTCAAAATAGTCCAAAGTTATTACCTTTATAATAAAATTGATAAACTTCTAGCAAGAATGATCAAAAAGAAAAGAATTAGAAATTCAAATTGCCAGTATCAGACATTTAAAAAAAATCTTAAAATAATAGATCCTTTAGACTTTAAAGGAATAGCAAAGGATTATTTAAAAAAAAACATTATTTTAATTAATTTGACAGCTTCAATAAAAGTGTAAAATGTAGGGAAAAAACAACCTTCTGAATATGACCCCAAAACAAATTGAAAAGCTAAACACACCTATATCCCTCCAAGTAATGAACTATTCTTGTTTGTATATAATATGAGAGTGTCTCAAAAAATGCTAAAGAATCTCCAGAGATGACAAGAAATACGTGGCAAATTTAGCACGTTTATAGAACTGAAATGCCAAATTAAAAATTCAGTTGCACTTATATATACTAACTATAATAATAATTGAAATGTTTTAAGTTAAAAACCTGTGAAAGCATCTGAACACATAAATGCTTAAGAGCAGATGAGTAAGATCCATATGCTAATTACAAAACTTTCCAAACATAAACATTTAAAAAAAATTTTTGCTTATCTCTTTATTTTGATCTTGTGTCTATCAATCTTATTGAAATCTATATCAACTAATAAATTCTCTGTAGATTCTCTTATACTTTCTATGCAAATTGTAATACCATTCATCTTTTCTATTATTTTTAACTGCATTTTAGGTTTTGGGGTACATATGAAGAACACACAAGATTGTTGCATAGGTACACACATTTAAAACACCTAGTAGACATATTGTATTCAAGAATTAGAAAACCCACCATTGTTAAGATGATAATGCAGTCCAAGATGATTTATAGATTCAACTCAATCTGAATAAAACTCCCAGTATGTGCCTTTCAGATGTAGACAACTGTTCTGCACACTGCTCTGCAAAGTGACTTTCCCACTTCCCCCACAAGGGTTATCATCTGTTTCTCTAACATTTCAAATCTGGGATGGTCATATAAACACCTGAACAACAGAAGATGATGCAAGTGACATTGTGCCAGTTCTGGACGTAGCCCTTCACTGGCCTGCCATCTTCCACTTTCTACCATGGGGATCTCTTAGTGCCCTGTAAAAAGCCTGACTATCCTGTTGGAGACCTTATGGTCCTTCATCTAAATGGAGAGGAGGAAGGACTCAGTGGATCTCTTCCAGTCATCACCTCCAAGATGCTGTAAATGTCAAGTAAGCTTTCCTGTACCCTACAGATGCCCCAGCTATCAGCTGAATAACACTGAGTGACTTCAGTCCATGCCACATGAAGCAGAAGAAATACTCAGCCAACCACTGCCTGAATTCCTGGCCCATACAATTTGAAGATAAAATAAGATGGTGATTGTTTTAAGTCACAAAAACTGTGGAGCCTTGTACAGCGCGGGAAGAGATGACCAGAATAAAGAGTGGCACCTGTAAGTGTGGTGCTTCCATAGCAACAATTTAAAGCATGTGGCATAGGCTTTAATATCAGATGCTAGTTGACACTTAGAAGGGTCTCCTGGACAGTGTAAGTGATGACTGAAAAGACAGAAGTAACTAGGGAAAAAGAAGTGACTCCTTATCTAGTGCCAGAAAGGGGTGGTGATACTGCCACATGAAATAATGTGGAAAACAGAAAATGTACTTAAGTAAACAGGGGATCCAGCTAAAATTTTCAAGTACAATATTGAAAGTTCAACCTGTTTCTTATAAAAGTGTGTGCTATCATAAAGCATAGGTAAAAATATGAGATGAAAGAGTATCTTGAATTTTCTAGCAGAATGTACAAGAAAAATAATAACCCAAGCTTGCTGTTTTCAAAAATCGAACTGGTTTTCCTTTCCA